GCGGGGTGTCCCGGGGGGCAGCGAAGAAGCCGTACATGGTGGAGGAGGCCGTTCCCTATAACGAGCTGGACTACGTTTCGGTGAGTGCAGCCTGGGTCAGGTCAGCCCTCGGCAGGAGCGGGAGGCTGATGGGGGGTCACTCCTCACCTCTCCAGCCGCAGGGTTGTTGGGGGCATCACCGTGGGGTGTTTCAGTGGGGCGCTCTGTCCACGGAGAGTGTTTTGACCAGTGAATCTTTGGGGGAGTTAGAAGTGACCCCCCTCTGGTGCCACCTCTGCCGGTGCCCAGTTCCTGTCTGCACGGGCAGCACAGTGATCACCAACCCTCTCCCTTGGGGCCAAACGCTGGGTTCGGCCCCGCTTCGCCCCCCCGTGGCCCCTGCCGCGCTTCCTTAACGGGTCGTGTGTGGCACAGGTGGGGCTGGATCAGCAGACGGTGACGCTGGTGTGCACCAATCGGAGGAAGCAGTTCCTGCTCGACACCGCGGACGTGGCTCTCACCGAGTAAGCAGGGACCGGGTGATGAACCCGGGGAGCGGGACCCCCGGCTGGCACCCTGGATCCCAGTGGGACTTGGGGAACACGGGAGGCTCTGGTGACGGCCCTTCACGACAAAGTCCTGCCACCGGTGGGGGTTGGAGTTTGGTTTGATGCTGCTGGCTACACCCTGCAGGCACCTGGAGATGCCTTGAGCGCGGATAAGCCCGACGTGTCTTCCCTGGATATACACAGCAGTCACCCTGTCCCTCGGGCTGATGGCCTCGGGGCTCAGCCACACAGACGTCGTGTCCTTGTGTCACTTGGGATGAGTAGGGACGAGTTTCAAGCCACATTCCCAGGTCCCAGCGTGTTGTCAGTGCAGGGAGGTGACCTCTTTAGGGCCTGGATGATCATTCTGGGATCTGTGTTGGGATGAGCATCCACCTCCCAGTCTCACCCATTGCCTTCCTGGGGTTCGGATTTCATAGATTCATGGAATCACAAAGTGGTTTGGGTTGGAAGGGACCTTAAAGCCCATCCAGTCCCACCCCCCCTGCCATGGGCAGGGACATCTTCCACTAGACCAGGTTGCTCCAAGCCTCATCCAGCCTGGCCTTGGACACTTCCAGGGATGGGGCATCCACAGCTTCTCTGGGCAACCTGTCCCAGTGCCTCCCCACCCTCTGCGGGAAGAACTTCTTCCTGATATCCAATCTAAACCTCCCCACTTTCAATTTAAACCCGTTACCCCTTGTCCTGTCACTACAGGCCCTTGTAAAAAGTCCCCCCCAGCTTCCTTGTAGCCCCTTCGGGCACTGGAAGGTGCTATAAGGTCTCCCCGGAGCCTTCCCTTCTCCAGGCTGAATGTCCCCAACTCTCCCAGCCTGTCCCCATGGCAGAGGGACTCCAGCCCTTGGAGCATCTCCTGGCCTTTGCAACCTTTGGGGGGTGGGTGGGTTTCAAGACCCTTTGGTCTGGGAGAGCAGAGGCCCACCCTGAGGGGAAGCCCCTTTTGGCAGCGGAGCGTGTGAAGGGGCTGAGGGGGCTGTTTGCCCTGGCCTTACTAGAGATGTCTGTCTCCCTCTCAGGTTCTTCCTGGTGTCCCTGAAGTCAGCCATGATCAAAGGGTGCCGGGAGCCCCCATACCCCAGTATCCTCACAGACGCCACCATGGAGAAACTGGCGCTCGCAAAGTTCGTGGCGCAGGAGTCCAAGCGCGAGGTGAGTGGGTATCGCAGCCATCTCCCCGCGTGGCAGTGGCTCCCGGGAGACTCCCTCCTGTTGACTTCTCCCCCCGATTCTCCCAGGCCTGTGACGTGGTGGTGCGTTTCTACGGCCTCGTTCACTGGGAAGACCCCATGGACGAGGCGCTGGGACCTGCCCACAACAGCTACGCCTCTGGGGAGCAGGCGGTCACCAAGGACGGCATCCTGCACTACAAGGCCGGCACCTCCTACCTGGGCAAAGAGCAGTGGAAGACCTGCTTCGTGGTGCTCAGGTGGGCGCCGGGGCTGCGGGTTGGGATTGGGGACAGCCGGGGCTGGGCGCAAAAGGTGCTGGGACCGGTTTGCTGCCCAGGAACTGCTGGGACCCGTCTTGTCACCTGGGAGGCCAAAGTCTCCGTCTGCGGCTG